GATTCACCGACTGCTCCTTTTCGTCGCCAACTTGGTTCTTTCCTTCAAGGCTTGGCACACTGGAACTTTAGGTGGTCAGATGAGCCACTCGGCGACACGCTGAGTGCTCTTGGCAATCCTCTGGCTCGCCCATCTTCATTTCTTCAGCTTGTTTTGTTCCTTTTTGCCTATTAGTGTCCTTGCTTTGTTCCTCAATCCATATTCCTGAAATCAAGGATCTAACATCACCTATCGGCACAAAATAAGCATTTGAGGACACTAAATCTATATAAACAAATCCCTAAATGAGTCTAAATCTCGGACTCATCAGACAATTATTGAAAACATTGTTGAACTTGACATAAATTATTAATTTCGTCTCTGAACTATTGACAACTTCAAAACACAATTTTACTTGACTAACTAAACTTAGATACACCCTCGATAAGTGGGATCTCAAGCTCTTTGTAGGAACATGAGGCTCTTAATAAAAGGCGAGAGAAGTGTTGAAAACACTCCTAAACTTTGGAGAATTTTGAGGTGTATTTTACTCAAGTTGAAAGATTAGGTTGTATTTAAATTCAATTAGTCAAGTTCATAGATATTTTAAGACTATCAATAATTCAAAAATGAAACTAATAATTTACGCCGAATTTAGGAGTGTTTCTAATACTCTTCTCTTTAATTAAAACATAACAACTTTAAAAAACTCGAATCTCAAATTCATATAGTTCAAATTTTACCTCCGCCTTTTTTCGAACCCCCAACCTTCTAACAAGTAAAAAGTGCGCCCAAAAACGTAGACAAACATATTCTTCGAAATCCACAGGGTGTTTATAATACTAATAAGATTAAGTAACAGCTTTTGCAGAGATACTATGTAGCTTTTTGAACTTAGACATGATGAGTCAAAAGTAAAGTGGATTGACTAACACCTAAAGCTAATACGACTACGCTTCCATATATTTATATAAGATCACTAAAAAGCTACAAAAGTACACGATGGATTTACAACTCATGCAACTTCAGAGTTCCTCGAGCTATTCACCATTTATTCCATTCTCTATTGCAATAAAGTTTCGATGGAAAAATTTTGGTTTGTGTGCGAGGTAGATAGGAGCTAAAGAAATATTGCTCAATTTAGCATACTTTAGTAAGGGAATATTTGACCATTTTTAATGAGATAATTAGATTAATTGAGGGTTCTTGTTAAATTAAGAATATATTTGGATCAATTATTGAACCTAAGAACATATAAGAACTAAATAATTAATAAAGATATATTTGCTCGATTTTAAAGGCATATATGGACCCTTTTACGAAAGGAAAAAGAGTTAATTGGGGAACTTTTTTTTTTGGTTGAATTGTTGATCCTAGCTTCTATATTTGCTTAGTGGAATTTTTTTTGGGTAACTTAGAGAAATCTCACTAGTTTAGGAGCTAATTATTTAGATTCGTGTTGTTTACATATTATAAATCTTACTAGATTTTGGATTTCGGATACTATGTATTTGACGCGTCCAAATACGTTTAGACAAATGTATCTCAGATACATGGGTCAAAATTAAGTGTAATTTGTTTTAAATACACTATAATATAGTGAATTCATATGTATATGACTCCCTCACTCACCTCTCTCCCATCTCGCTTGTCACTCTCCTCTCTCGCTCGCCTCTCTCCCTGTATGTGATATCCCAGATACATATATTTAGTTACTAGATACATGTATCTAATGTGATTAGCATGTATCTGAGGGGATTCACATGCATATGAGGATCTCACTCGCCTTTCTCTTTCTCTAGCTTGCCTCTTTCCTTATTTTAGTGTATCAGGTAGCAAAAATACATGTATCTATGTGTGTCTGACTTGAAATCTGATATGAAATTATTAATTAGTAAGATAATATATGTTATTATTTCAAACTATATGTAGAATTAGTAAATATGATAGCAATATTTTATGTAATTAGATAGTTTTTTCAAAATTTTACTTCCACTTAATGTTTACTAGGAGCGTCAAAATAGACCGACATAGCCCAACCCAATCTCATCGGGTTGGAGAGCTTAACGATCTGGCCTTTCATATTGAAGGGCCAATACAATATTAACCCAAATTTGCCTGCGGCCAACCCTTAAATTTTGTTCTTTCGATAGAATTTATAAGATATTTTATTTTTGTAAATGGAGAAAACCTTGTAAATGATGTATGTGAATGAGGGCTCTACAAAATCAATAGTAAGAATATATAATAGTGGTTGGACGGATGAAGCAGAATTTACTCGGGCACTTATAATAACTATAAATAATAGAGCAACTTTCACATATAGCAAACACAAAATTCATATTTTTATGCTATAGCAAAGTTTGCATAATTGTGCTCCATAGCAAACATATATATGTATAATTCGCTATACATTTACAAAAAAAATCGTTGTATAATTCGCTATACATATACAAAGAAAGCAGTTGTATAATTCGCTATACATATACAAAAGAAAGCAGTTGTATACAAAAGATCAATTGTATAATCTGTGCATGTATAAAACGAGAAAGAGAGAAAGCCAAAAGAAAACTGGGCAGAGAAATAATTATATTGTATAATTATAAGTGTATAGGACGAAGATATATGTATTTGCATGTGTATATACAATTTTCTCTCGCTTTATACAAACAGAAGCACAATTTATACATTTCATTTCTGAATGTATAAGTGAGAGAGGCGAGGGTGGCGAGCGAGATCTGGGAGAGGGGAGAGAGGGGAACGAAAATATATGTATATATACAATTTTCTCTCGCTTTATACAAACACAAACACATTTTATACATTTGTGTTTGTATAAAAGAGAGAGAGGCGAGCGAGACTGCCACCAAACGAGAGTGGCGAGCGAGATTCCACCAGGGAGAGTGGCAAAAATAGCAATAGTTTGCTATAGGGTACAATTAAATCAAAGTATATTTATAGTATTTAATTTGAATTAATATTTTGCTATTATATATAATTTTCCCTAAATAATATCATAAAATACAATTAACAACTTGCACATATAGCAAACACAAAATTCATATTTGTATGTTATAGCAAAGTTTGCATAATTGCGCTTCATAGCAAACATGCTATGACTAGGCTATTTCGCTATACATATATACAAAAGAAGCAATTGTATAAGTCGCTAGCTCCTCTTCAAATTTGTATAATTTCGCTGACAGACCATTTGTATAAATTGTCGTCAGCCTCTCGTTTGTATAAATCGTTGAGAGTATCTCAATTTAATTTTATGTGTTTGTATATCTGTATAAAATTTGAATTTGTATACAATTGAATCGAAATAAAACATTTGAATATCAAATATTGTTCTCTCTCTCGCTTTATAAAAACATAAATTATACATTGTATTTTGTATAATTTGTGTTTGTATAAAGCGAGAAAGGCAAAAGAGAACTGGATAGGGAAATATTTGTATTGTATAATTATAAGTGTATAGGACGAAGATATATGTATTTGCATGTGTACATACAATTTTCTCTCGCTTTATACAAACAGAAACACAATTTATACATTTCTGTTTGTATAAAGCGAGAGAGGCGAGCGACAGAGGGAGAGTGGCGAGCGAGAGTTTGAGGGAGAGAGGCGACTGACAAACAGTTTGCTACAGGACACAATTAAATCAAAGTGTGGTTATACCATTTAATTTGAATTAATAATTTGCCATTATGTACAATTTTCCCTTTTTTAAAAGTATATGTCAAGTCAAATATGAACGGATGAAGCAAAAATCACTCGGGCTGATCATTTCGTTTCATTTAGTGGAGATGTGCAACCCCAATATCTAGGCCCACTTTGGAAGATTTACAGAAATAGGCACTTTCGATGTCACTATTTAAGTTTTGTAATCATTAAGAAAAGTTTGTGAAAAATACATTAGCGACCAACATTAAGTAGCGAAATCCTTAAGAATGGATTTCAAATTGGTGGCCAAAACTTGTTTTGCTATAAAAATCGTAAGGATTTCTATACGACACTTGGTTATTTTGATCATAAATTTTGATGGAATTCAAATTGATGAGCAACTTGTTTTATCATGAGTACTAACAAATTACTAGGATTTGTATATAAACCCATATGATTCGTCCTTAATTTATAAGTGAGTTTGGGTGTGTGTAGTGGTGATTTTAAAGTTTAAATTCATCTACTTATATTAGTACTATTTTTAAGCGTGACATCTATTATACACTTACTATGACTTTTACTAAAGTAATACTGTAAGGGGTCGTTTGGTTTGAAAATGAGTTATGATGGGATAAGTTATGTTGGGATAAGTTATGTTGGGATTAGTTATGATGGGATAAGTTGTGTTGGGATTATTTTTTATTGAGTGTTTGGTTTGTTGTATTCAAAATAATAAATTTTAAGAACAATTTATTTGTTTACAAAAATGCCCTTCATTAATGTAAAAAGTGATATAACAAAAGGGTTGAAAGAGACATTTTTGTCATTTACCTATTTTATCCCGGGATAAGTTATCCCGGGATTACTATACCACCCAAGGAGAGGGATAACTTATCCCGGTACTAATTATTAATCCCGGGATAAGTTATCCCGAACTTGCCAACCAAACAACAAAATAAGCGGTACTATAATTTAATCCCGGGACTATTTGTTACTATACCTCACACCAAACGAGCCCTAATAGTAAAATCATTATACTATTACACTTACTATTATGCGACAATATCAACCGTCCAAGCTCTCATGGTTAATTGGTAATTGCAATAATTATCAGTTAATGAATTATTATTAGCCACACTTTATTGATGTAAATAACGAAAATAAAGGAGTTCTTGGTTAGGAAAAACTTTACCTTTGATAAGTCTACACGGCAAAGACTCAAAAGAGGTTTGATTGATTAACAAGTGGATTTCCATACATAAAGAAAAAGGCAACAACATGACAACCAAAGTCCCCTCAGGGCCCTCAGATTGTGGGTTCAAATCAGCAAGGGAGCCACCCGTACGTACTTTAACTTTGATGGATTTTCATGTGCAAGCGTTGTTGGGCATACTTGACCAGTTTCTCTACTTCTTTCTTGTTATCAATGAATCCTGTATGATCAGCATCAGCATCCTTCATGACTCGACGAGCCTTCCATGAGCTGAACCACATGTGTAGACTCTCAAGTGCTTCTGTTAATTCTTCAGGGCTAATACGCTTGTCATGATTCATGTCGAATTGCTTAATCCACACCTTGAATTCTTGTACTGACATATCCCTATCGGGCTGCTGCACTGGAAGCTCGAAACAACTCATTATAGCCATTTGTTTAGTTAGTTAACAAAGAGAAAATTGAACTTGTAGAGAATGTGTATGTTAGGCTGTTAAATTTGCACTAACTTTACAAGTGCTAGAGAATCTTTCTAGCATTATAAAATTTGATGGGCATCTTTTACTTTTGGACTTTTGTTCAAAACGAATTGATTCATTAATTCACACTAATAATATATATGAATTGTTTTTTTCATTTGTGGATTTGAAATGATGCTGATTCTAGCAATTTTATTCCATTTCTAATAGTAAGAAGTAAAATAAAAATGAAAATGACACAAAGATTCTTGAATAGAATCCCATTTTACCACAATTAGTGCAGCATCTTAGAATCAAGTCCTGCTTATCCATCCTTTCAAGATGAGTCTATTAACAAATTAAATTGGCCAGCTTTAATTGAATGAAGCGGAAAGATTATTGATCAATTCATTTCCTCGACTAACGTGGGACTCTAGCATCCAATGAACGCCAAGCGTGGACATTTCGAGTGTAGCAGCATAATACATGGGGGTCCGTCATTGGGTAAATTGAGAATACACAGATTGGTCATGTGAAGAAATGAACTTCAACCCTAAAGGTTAGATCATGGCTCTTCTCGCTGGCATCACATTCATGTACAGAGGCTCAATAAACCATGCATGGTTGCATATCTGTTTCATATATATATATAATGAATACAAAGGGAATATTGGTAAGGGGAATAGGTAACCTAGTACAACACAAATTAAGTCCTACAAGTACACGGACTATGAGTCCTAGTAATTCATATACTTTAATTTGGTACACCTTCAACCAGAATCACTGTGTTTTTGGTTGCTCACAAGCCTAATATACTGGAAAATGAGTTATCACAGTTCTGTGTCAGAACAAAATCGAAATATTACATAAGTTATTATATCTAGTGCTACAATTGTAACACTATATATTTCTTGGAAGTTTTTTTTTAAAAAATTTAATCAGCATAACAAACTCAAATATAGAAAATAGGATACTTTATTGCAGTAAGAAAACGGATCGAGACTATATATATCTGCAGCTATTGTATGACATTGTTTTCGTGTACTTGGACAACTTTCATACAAGCTTCATGGTACGCGTCATCATGGTCACAAATTCATCCATGTCTATAAGTCCATCCCCATTAGCATCAACACTTCTAACCATTTTCTTGCAACTCGCTAAGCTACATTTTTCTCCCAACATTCGCTGAACTTGCAACAATTCCTCTGCACTAATTTTCCCATTGCCATCCAAATCAAACGCCTTGAAAGCGCTTTTAATATCAGTCGAATTCACACCACCTTCGAGACTCTGCACTCTCATGAACTCCTCAAAGTTAATGAATCCGTCCCCATTAGTATCTGCAGCCTGAAATGCATCATCAACTTCATAAGATTTTGTATTTCCCCCACCGCTGCTCATCATCTTCATCGCTGATTTATGTTCCTCTTTAGAGATTTTTCCATCTTTGTTTGTGTCAAATTTGTCAAACACTCTTTTCATTTCCTCCAATTTTGGACTGAAATGAACCAAAGACGTTGTGCTTGGCGTTTGCTTTAACTTTGAGAGGTGAAGTGATCGCTTAGATTTCGACATCGACTTTCTAAAACTTTCGTAACGAAAATAGAGAAAACTTGAAGTAGTACTATTCGACATGTTATATGGTGAATTAATGTTGATGTTAAAATTTGTAAGACTAACTGTGAATATATATAGCTCTAAAAATTAGATACATTAACTTTCTTTGTGCAATACAAGAGCGCACTCAGATATATCTATGGGCCAGAAAGCTTTTGATGTTCTTTAATTTATTCCCAATTCACCATACAATATGACCAAAATCCTCTTTTCATTAAGAAACAACACGTAACTGTTCATAAAAAGTGAGATTAGTAATCTGAAAAATATAAGACAACTACTAAAAGTGAATATATAGTACTAGTGTACTATATAGCTTGGGCATAAATTCTACTACTAGCAAACTTCAATTTTACTACTGGGCATTTAAAGAATAAAAAGATAACACCACTCCTTTCCTTGATGCCAATATCAACTAAACTTCCAATTTCCAAATTATCCTTTTTATCAGCCGGCCATAAAGTATTTCACAGGCAAAAGATGCATTTCTGAATTAAGGCGTAATTGATATAAGGACATGTCCCCCCGTAAAGTTGGAGCTATGTCATGTCCTGTCTAATCAATTTTCTTAAATACTTTTTCGATTTACTTCTACCTCTCCTAAAACCATCCATGTATTGCGGTATCCATGCCTGTCCTCTTTACATATCTGAAGTATCTTAACCTCGATTTCCATATCTTGTGCTCCACTAAAGTTACTCCCACATTATCTCAGATATTCTCAGATTCCAACTATTGTCTTTCCTAGCTAATATGCTCACACATTCACCGCGACATCCTCATTTCTGCAACTTTCATCTTTTGAAAGTGAGAGTTTTTGATTAGCCAACACTCCGCCTCATATAATTACAAAGAACTGGGCTAACCATCACTCTATAGAACTTTCCTTTAATTTATGGTGGCACCTTTCTATCACATAAGACTCCGGATGCGAGCTTCTATTTCATCAACCTAATTGCACCAATAAGATAGGTCAGTTGCGGAGCCAGAAATTTCACAAAGAGTGTCCAGAAATAGCATAACAAAAACTATTTTCAAAAAGTAGAACTAGTGAGATTCAAACACACAGGCACTTCCTCATTCTAAGGAGGTGAAACCACTGGGCTATAATAGCTTGTTATGTTAAGGGTGTCTAAAATATGTTACTTAATCGTTTCGTGTATCATTTTACTTGTATATACAATATTTTTTCCCGACAAAGGGTGTCCAATTGGACACCCTGACCACCACATGTGGTTACACCATTGAGATAGGTGACATCCCCTTCAATCTCTCATAGATCCAAGTTACTTGAAACTTTCTTCCTTTTGGATGTCGTGTGTATCAAGTCTCACTTTCATTTTAGCCACATGTATGTTATGGAACCTACAATCTTATATATGGTTGCTACGTTTTAAGTGTTGGAAATCATTTTTAAGTGCTAAAATTGATTTTATAAATAAACAGTTATGTGTTTAGATAAAAAGCTAAAACGAAAAAATAAGTAGAAAATGTATTTAATCAAAAGTGTTGATAAATGTTCTTTTGTTAAAATGACTAACAATATCTTTTAAAAAAAATTTATCCAAAAATATTATTTTGAAATAAAGGAGGAACGATGGATATAATTTTTTATTTTGTTTTTGGAAAGAGTGCTTTGAGAATTAAAATTAAAATAAATATTAAAGATAAAATAGTTTTTTTTTTTTTAAAGAAATTGGTCGAAACAAAAAGGGTAAAAATAGCACGCTAGAAGGAGGGCTTGAACCTCCGACCTTGTGGTTAACAGCCACACGCTCTAACCAACTGAGCTATTCCAGCTGTTAACCTAAATATACATGATAACTAATAAGTCTAATCCTTTTTTGAGGCCACCAAATCAGGAGCGAAACATTATCTCCAACTTTAATCTAATATCAAAATTATATTTCTGGGGAAAAAATTGGTTATTAATGTTTGAAGGTAGGGTTTAAATAGTTTATGAAATATTGTCCAAAGCATTTTTTTTTCTTTTATCATTTATATTTATAAAAAAATTAAGAATGTCTAGATTCCATCAAATATTTAATAAATTTTGACAAAGAATGAAAGTGCCTATTTTGAAAAACTTAAAAAGATAAAAAAAAATGTTCAGGTACTCACTATCCCTAATTACTTGTCCATTTTTTAATTGACACGTCTGTTAAGAAAACAATTATTGACATAGTCAATTGTCCATTTTATGTCTATTAATTATGAAGTGGATAAATTAAAAACTTAGATTTTCAAGAAGTACTATCTTTTTCAAAGTAATTAATTGAGGGTATAATAGGTTAAAAAATTGTCATTTCTTGATTTATCAAAATGGACAATAATTAGGACAACTAAAAAAAGCGAAGTGAACAAGTAATTAGGGACAGAGAGAGTATTACTATTTAGTGGGCTATTAAGGAACCTTTTTTTTTCATTTTCTTTTTTCTTCTGGACAAATTAAATGTTTGCTATTTCATTCACGATTTTATTTACAATCAATTTTTTGGTTTAATGTACATTTGTTATAACGACATTTCACTATAGTGATCTGATTTTTCATATTATATTTTAGTTTTTTTTATAACAACATTCTACCGCTACAATAAAAATATCTTTTAGCGGCAATAAATATACAAATTAACAAAGAATGATAAGACTTTTACCGGCATTAGTTAATTGTCATTGAATTCAGTATCGTTTTGGTTTTATCAACATTTATAAAGAGTGCTAAATGTTGTTAAAAATATGTTTTTAGCGTCAATTAAGTCATTGTCGTTAATTAATTGCAGCTAACAACAATGACATTCATTATAATATTAGACTCTTTATAAAATTACCCTTCTAGAACAGTCATTACACAATATTTTATAAGAAATATATCGAATGTAAAATAAAATATTAAAATATTTATAATAATCATTATTAATGTGATGTAAAAAAATTAAAAATAAGTAAAAAATATATTCAAATGATGCACATCACCATAAGTTATGCTTATAACTTTACGAAGAAACACTACCAATATTTGCTTTTTTACCCTCATACTATTTTCATCCTTGAAGCTTACATTGATCAAGAGATTAATGCATGAATCAGTGTTAACATAAAGAAAGCTACATGTTTACTATAAAAAGGTTTGACCGTATATGTATTGATCTATAAATTAAAAGATGTTTACTTCACGAATTGGCTATTTAAAAGATATGTCATTCATCCATCTTTATTTGTCCACTATATTAAAAATAGTTGTTCAACATTACTTGTCCAATTTAGAAAATAAGAGATATTTTATGACTATTTTATCCTTGCTATTAATTAAATACTATTCAATATGCAATACATTTCTCAAAGCATTAATTGTTGGGTTCGAAAGGGTGATTAGGGCGTCATGCGAAAGCTTACAATTGCAAATCATATGAGGATAAATTAGACGACACATAAAACTATACTAAAAAGACATAATATTATTATATGATATGACCAATTGGCCTACATAATTAAAAACTAATAAAAAGCATAAAAATTGTAGAGAGAAAATCTCCCCATAAACAAAACTCTTTAAATGTCTACATTGTGGATACTATTGTGTTATGCTATGAGAATAGAGATCTTCAATTTATAGATTTCCAAACTATTCCTCTAAGGAAAGAATAAACCAAATATAAGAAAATTATATTTTCCTTCAGAAAAAGTTCAAACATTTATGGTAATACTTTGACTTTTCTTTAAGGAAAATATAAACTTCATATAAGGTAAGAAAATCAGGGCAAAACCCTAACATTAATTTGATATATTCAAAGGGTAATGTCTATTACCCTTATTGCTTAAGGTGTGCAGCCAAGTCAATAGTGGACAACTATTGTTGTACATAGAGAATAATTGTGAATAACCCTATTCGAAATTCCCTCCATTTTAATTTGTTTGACTGATTTTGATTTGATACGAAATTTAACTAAATAGTTTTATTAGTCTTGTGATCTTATTTTAAATATATGTAGAATGTATCAAATTGTCTTTTCATATTATAATCTTAAACATATCATGTGGAGATTATGAAGGACTATGAAGACGGAAAATGTTATTTAAGGTTTATACTATAAATTTACATCTTCCCCTCACTTGTAAAACATAATTTTCATCATAATGGATGTATTATTCTCATAGTTGTAATAACTCATACTCTCAAACTCGCAAATTCTTACTTTTTCGACAACGTTATCCGACAATTATGCCATAAAATACTCAATACGAATTACTTTTTTCCTTTGTACTTTAAATTATCGTCCTTATATATAAATTTTATCATTCTCTTTAGTAGGCTATACAACAACAAGAATATACTTTCTCCATTTCAAATTATATAAATTTTTAAGACATTTTTCATAGTTTAAATTAACTTAATTGTTCAATCTTCAAGATTATTTTTAGAATTTTGTACTACGTTCCCTTCATTTGAATTTTCTATGTTATGAATTCAAGACTTGCTTTGAAGTATTGAGAGTAGTTGTTATAATTAATGTTTATTCATTCTAAAGAATAATTTGACAATAATTAAAAAAAGATAAAAATAGTAATTACATCTAAAAAAAGAGTAATGTCTTAATATTCTTTTCTTAAAAAGTGTGCAATATTTCAATAATTCACTCATTTTGAAATGAAAGAAATAATATTTATATATAATAAATTCATGAGTCATTTCCTAATACAAATTTAATTGTTATTCTGAATGACCAATTTAGGATAAGCATATATTATACTATTTTTTAGTTCTTAAAAATTAAATTATTTAGTTAATACAAAATATAAATGTAAAATAAGTATTTATGATACAATCTATATTACCAATTAAAAAAAAAGAGAAGGGGCAAGGGGTAGCTAAGGAGGGGGAAAAATACATGGAATTAGGAGCAATGGTCCAAAAAAGAAGTGTACGCCGTAGTTTGAGGTCGCATAAATCACATGGGTTTGCCCATTCGTTTCGGACAAACTTCACCCCTTTCTTGCCTCTTTGTTTTTCTATTCCCTCCGTCTCAAAATAAATGTCATTTGAATTAATATAATTTTTTTAATTATCAAAAAATATTTAATAGATTATATTTTTTATTTTCCTCAATAAGTGTAAAATAAATTTAATGTACTTGAATAAAAAATTTATCAAAATATCTTTACAAAATAATAATATGATTTGCGTATACTGTACTTTCTAGATCCGAGATATTACGATTCACGGCTATGTTGTTGTGGTAGTAAGTGTGAAATGAGACCTTAGGACAAAAGGAGCAGTAATCTGACAGGTCAAAAACAAAATCCAATTAAAAGCTTAGCAGTAACTTTCTTACGTTTCTAAACTGACTCACAAAAATGTCTGAACAGTTACTCTTCTTCACTGTCAAGGAGAAATACAGTGACTTTTTCTAGTCAAAACGTCGGCTATCATCATTGAACCCGCCTGCCCCTTACATTTACATTTCTTGATTTCTTTCACACCTGGAGAATCTTTCTTTTATTTATTTTCTTCTTCTTCTTTCCCTTTCTGGGAAATTCAACAATTAGTTTTGTATTCATTAGTTACAACTTCATTTCCTAATTTGCTTTTTTCCAATTCAGAGACTAGAAGTTGGCATAAACAATAGATCAACTCTCTCCATTGACCAAAGTCCCAAGGGTGAGTTTCGCTTTTGCTAAAAGTATTACGCTTTTTGTCCTTTTACTGCTTTGGCCCCATTAATTTTTCCTCTCGATTTTAATTTGATTGGTTCACCAATATATTCCTTGCACTTGTGCTTTTGAGCCGAGGGTATATTAGAAACAAACTTCGATTTGAAAAATTACACTGGGTATGTTGTTCGGATGAGGGGGTTGGGTTTAAGTGGGGATGAATTTGAATAAAGTTTTGTGTATTTCAGGGGAATGCAATGATAAATTTTGATCCGGTACTATTTGCAATTATTGGTCTTCATTACCCTTTGAGTGGTCCTGAACATGGACTACAGAAAAAATGACCACAACTTCAAGATTACATGAGTTTGGCTTAATTAGTATCTTCATTTTCATATCATTGCTTTAGTTTTTGCAATTATTAAAAAGGGGCTATCTATGCCTATGGTCTAATAGTAGGTTAAAAAATATAGTAGTAGTATTAAATTTTGGGTATATAGGTGTAACACTATGAATTACTCTATGGCTATGCCTTAATGTTGGGAAGCTACAACATTTGAATTTTTTCAAACTAGTTAGGTTTAGTAGTTTATTATCTGAATATTTTATGGGAGTCTAGAACGTTGTAAGACTTTTTCAAAATAGTTTTAGGTGATGTTTAGTTTCTCATATTTGAAAGTATCTCATCCATTTGGCAGGAGAGCTCTAATGTGGCCATAATTAAACATCATGAGGAAACACAATACTTCATTGAGGAATTCAGGTACATATACTAGCCCGTCGACACCAGAATATGGAGATGATCATTTTGAAGGATTTCAGAAAGGATGGAGTTCCGAGCGAGTTCCCTTGCCAACTAATAGTAGTAGGAGACACATTACTGCTACTGCATTGATGCCGTTTAATAGTGGAAGGGCATTGCCTTCTAAATGGGACGATGCGGAAAGGTGGATTACAAGTCCAGTATCAGGTTATGCCACTCCCAAGGCTTCTTCAAATGTGCAATTGCAAAAACAGCCTAAGTCTAAAAGTGGACCACTTGAGAATCCTGGACTTATGTTCATGCCAAACTATTCACCCTCTGTACTAGTCCATGAAGGTGGAAATAGAAGTAATTTTGTAGCAAATTCGCCATTTACAACAGGTGTACTGGTGCCGGAAGGATTATCCATTCATTATGGTGTTGGTTCCGGCTCAACCTCTAGTGTTTTGTATGCTGAGAATAACATGGTTCGAGCAAGCACTGCTCCTGGTCTGTCAGATTTTTTCGCTGAATCTTCATTACCAAGCTCCCAAGGTATAATCTTCTTCCTCTTTGAAGAAATTCTGTTTTGGTTTCTTCCGGTTTGACAGACTAGTTATTGCATACTAAACCTATGCAATTGGATTCATCGTCAATTATATGTTAATCATTGGTTGTTTTCTCATAATTTTACCATTTACACTCTTTGATCTTCAATTGCACTATCAATAATCAATGTCTTCTTTTAGTATTATTAGCATAGAAACCTCAACAGTCCTATGGTATCTACCTTATTTAAATACTAATCATTTGAAGGTTGTTAGTGAACCTTGCATCTGGTCATTAGATCAAATCTTGACCGGAGGAATTAGTCATCTCTGGACTAACTAATCAGTGACCTGTGGATCTTGAAACCTCCCTTGCTTTGATATAAAATGTAACTGATATGCACCAGGTTGCTCAAAGAAGGAACTCATGTCAGTGCGCTAGCAAGAGATAACGTCTCATTTGAAAGAAAAGTATATGCATGAGAATTTGTAAGACGTGTGTTAAAAATTGTATGAAATCACAGAAGGATTAATATTGCTAAACCACTTATGTGAGCAGTCAACCTACAGGCCATGTCGAACTCTTATCTCCCAAGACATTTAGACACAATTTGCCATTTAGGCACAATAATATGTCTATAGTAGTTGTCAACCTTTTATCGAAATATGACCTTACAGTAGTTAATCATTCTTCTTAATCTTAACATCGCACACACAACCCTCCTGATTTCTTGAATTAGACATTTTAAGCATTCTTCTTTTGACGAGTAAGCTTTCATTATTCTTTTCAAAATGTGTTGTGCAATCACCTAGCTAGACTAAAGTATAAGAAGAAAAATGTTTTCATGGCAAAGTATATTATTGCATTAATCTCTTGCACACAATGAACAGATGATAAGGCTGATGGCACCAAGGAACCAGATTCTATTTCCCCTGTAGTTTCATGTAGAGATATGGCAACACAGATGAGCCCTGACGACAGTACACATTCCTCTCCCAAAGGAAGGTCCCCTTCAATCCGATCTATAGAGGAGCCGAATGATAAGCATTCAGCTAAAGTTGAGATTAGAGATGTACAGGTAGACAGAGGACCTCCCATATCCGGAGAATTACAGAGAAAAGGGGTAAGGAAAACAAGGAAAGACTTGCAAAATGCAAGTGACTCAAATGTATGCTGGGATGTTGCAGATGCAGAAAGGAGCTTGCCAAAGTACGTCTTCATTTCATGCTTTTGATACTTATAATAGTGTAAAAAGTACCTATGCTGTCCTTCAGTAAAGACAACCAGCACATCCTTAATGTTTACCTTTTCTGTTCTGCAAGTTAATCGATTGAACAACTTAGAGAGTTGGCCTATTTAACCTTGACTTCACCAGTAGAAATGGGAACTCTCTGGATTCCCGCATAGATCCATATTTCAAAGAATCCAAACATTGAAACAAGTAAAATTTAAATCATGGATCTGCCTCCAGAAGTAAAGCACTGATATTTCCTTCCATTTTATTGTAGGCTGCAAAGAGAGGAAGCCAGGATTAATGCTTGGGAGAACTTGCAGAAAGCTAAAGCTGAAGCAGCAATCCAGAAGCTCGAGGTCGCATAAATTTTCCACAGATTACTTTCTACTCCTCCGTTTTAATTTGTTTGTCTTACTTTCCTTTTTAGTCCGTTTCAAAAAGAATGTTTCTTTCTTTTTTAGCAACTCTTTAATTTCAACTTTCCACGTGACATGTTTAGGACACAAGATTGCAAGTACATTTTGGTACATTCTGCATATCACCTCAAGATTCAAAAGTGTTTTTTTTGCTTTCTAACATCCGTGTCAAATCAAAATCAGACAAACATATCATTGAAACAAAGGGAGTACTTGTTTTGAAATAGTACAAAACTGATTCAAACTTGTCTTTTTTGGATATCAGGTGAAACTATCAAAGAAGAGGTCAGCATCTATGGATAAGATTCTGAACAAGCTTAAACTTTCTCAGTTGAAGGCTCAAAAGCTGAGAGGTTCACTCTCAGAAGGTCATCCAACAACTTCAAAAACACTCTTCCCTTTTCAGAAGTACTTCAAGATCACTTCATTCAGCAGTTGTTTTTACTGTGGTGTCGAATAGTTGGCGATACCTTTCTTGAAAATGCAACGAGGTCGGATCAGTATATGATTCTCGTCATAGTTTGGAGTATATTTCATTCTTGGTGATCAAAGGATGTCATAGAAGACTGATTAAATTCAGTTTTGTCCATGGTGTTGCTAAATATTCAAAACAGTAACACCATCTCTGTGAAAACTCTTTTGTAAAACTGTTTTTGTATATGGTTATAGAAGAGGTAGCAGTGAGGAACCAAATTCTATGAGTACATACCCAAAAAAGGTCACAGTTGAGGTATTGTACCAATTTAGCAACTATATTGATAAATTGAGATGCACATCTGAATATTTATAAGGGTAGTTTGGTAGATAGTAAAGAAACAACTTATTCATATATTTATTTCTACATAAGTTATACAAAGTTCGATAGCTAATTAGGAAGTAAGTTATTCATATAAATTTTTTTTTATGTATTATCTTATGCTGGAGTAGAATTTGAAATAGCTAATACCTACATAGCACACCAACTCCTGGGGTCTAGCTCTATTCAAGCAATAAGTAAGCTAAAGAACAACATAAAAACATTTAAAGAGACAATAGCTAATTATGCGAGGGAGAGGATTAGAAACTAAAAAAAAAGGTACTCTCTTTGTCCCAATTTATGTGACACATTTCAGATTTCAAGATTTAAACTAGTACTGTAGATTTTTCATATATCTTTTAACTATTTTGGATTGTCAATTATTGTGACTTATAATATTTTTTACGTAATTTACAAATATATAAATTTCATTTTAGGAAAACTGAAGATTAGATATGCAAATTCTCTGTCAAAATTAAACGATATGACTCTCGAAAAAAGAAATGTGTCTGGACTATGTTTCAAATAATGCCGAAGAGGCAGTAGCAACTGGTGCCCGCTGAGGAGTTTATTATGTATAGCACGACTAATAACAAATTATAGTATTAGCAATATAATAAACCAGAATAATTGGATAAACTTAAACCGCAGTATTATGAAGAAATTATAGAAAAGCTTTACATTGTAATGTTATTTACGGTCTATATGAAACATTTGGTTGCAAGCATATAACAGAATAGGATTGCATAGCCTCCCAAACATCAATTATAATTTAATGAATAGAGGATAAATATTAATAGCGCCCATGGCCTAATGGATAAGGCGCTTGACTTCTAATCAAGCGATTGTGGGTTCGAGTCCCACTGGGCGTGTTGTTTTTTTCTTTTGCATTTGGTTAGACTGATCAAGCTAGAAAAGGCATCGTCGGCCCATATACATTAGGGCCCTAAACAAAGAACCCAAGGTCGCTTGAATGCCTAAGCAGAACATTCCCCAAATTACGCGTATAAGCAAATATATATTAGTTAATTACTTAACATAACTATAGTTTGTCTTAATTACAATTTGCGACCTACTTTTAGCTATAATTATGCGGCTCAGCCTTTTGGTTTGTATAATTCGCATGTTTGTATAATTCGAAATTTGTATAATATAATTTGTATTCGAAATTTGTATAATATAATTTGTATAACTGTTTATACTTCTGATGTTTGTATTTGTATAAATTTGCTATTTCGAGTTTATACAAAAATAACTGAATTATATAAATGTACCTGCGAATTATACAAACGAGACAGCTTAAACTTTAGCTACAGTTCGTAAATATGCAAACTATAGTTATAGAGCATAATTAAGTTTATTATAATGATTATTTGTGAAAGTTCCTCCTTTCTTTAAACAGCCCAATACCAAGTTGGACCATGAAGTCTCATTATGGAGCACTCCAATACAATAAACTTTAGTCAAAATACAATCTCATCAGATTTAGGTGCGTGGAATCAAATATATGCTCTAGACCAAATACAAATCTATAATTGTAAAATACTGTAGAGATATGAGACAAAGGGCAAACCAACCAAAATACTATACCCACTCATGGATATATTATCTTATACTAATATAATGTGAGATAAATAAATGATAGAAACGATTTGTCAATTCTTTCAGTAAAAACGTGTTCAAGATAGACCTACTAAAAGCTTCAACTGGAGTAATGTTTGGTGGATATTTTGTTTTGAATAATTTTTGTCCTAATTTGATTATATGAGCATGCACAGTACGCTAGCTAGCTATTTGGAAAGTTCATGATGGGTCCTTAATTGAGAGTTAGGTCTGTTGATGTAACTAATTTCCAAATTCAGGGCTTTCCACGCACTTTCTTTTCCTACACCACTTTTATGTGCACAATTATTATTCATAAATACTCCCTCCGTCCCTATTTACTTGTCCATATTTCCTTTTTTAGTTGTCCCTATTTAGTTGTCCATTTTGACAAATCAAGAAAGGACAACAAATTTTTTCCTATTATACCCTTATTTACACTTCTTGAAAATTGTAAAAGTGTATGTTGTTTCCCTCCAATTTATTTCACTTTAATTCAAATAAGTGGTTATAATTTTGAAGTGAAAAGTTGTCATAAGGGTAAAATTGTAACTTTACTGTGCTAATCATTGTTGCCTTAATCTGTGTGCCATTTCTAAAGTGGACAACTAAAAAGGGACGGAGGGAGTAACATTTTTTCACTCTTTATAACTCATTCAAATATACTTGTCCTCATGTACCTTTAAATTCCATCCGTCTAGGAGTAGGACAAATAACGAAGTTTCACCCGTAGAATATTAAACGGGGTGATAAACTGATAATATATACTTCATGTCTAGTTCAATATAAAGAAATCATTGATACTCTTTTTATAGTCTAAATATGTGATTTTCAAAGTTCAAGAAATGTGTTAAGTATTGTGTTTTTTATTAGAATTATCCTTCTTTTTAATGAGATTTTTAACTACTTAAATATTTCAGATAATAACTATCTCTACTTTTATAAGGAGGGTTTGAAAAGAATCAAAAGAATAATATTCATAAATTACTCTTTTATTAATGTCTTTAAATATCATTTTTAAAGTGTGTCACAGTGCCCTAACAATTTAGTAGGCACTATTATTTCTTCCAATTTACCCGTAGGAATTATATGTTTTTACTTTTAGCATTTTTAGTGCAGAAAAATATTAGTAAGATTTTTACACTAACATTGCAGTTTAATTAAATTGTAATAACTGATCAGTTATAATATTTATCAAGTTGTAAATCAATATTTATTATATATAAAAAAGAGCAACTTTCACATATAGCAAACATAAAAATCATAGTTGTATGTTATAGTTATAGTGTGCATAATTGCGCTCTATAGCAAATTTTATGTTTGCTATGGAACTTTTAATTTGTATAATTCGCTAGATACATCCAATTTTATACAAATTGTTCAGTTTTGTATAAATTCATTTATTCATTGTAATTTGTATAATAAGATCTGTATTTGTATAACTATAAAGTGTATATGACAAAAATATATGTATTTGTATTTGTATATACACTTTTCTCTCGCTTTATACAAACATAAACGCATTTTATACATTTGTATATCGAATGGGTAATTGTATACCGAAAATGACCAATTGTATACTGAACCAGATGACAAAAAAATGGAATGTTTGCTGCGATTTACAAATAAAATAAACTATGACTATAGCATTTAATTTGAATTAATAATTTGCTATTTCATACAATTTTCCCTATTATATACCTATAGTTAATTTATCTCAAATATAATTTTAATTGTATACATATTTTTACACCATCGTTATATATATATATATATATATATATATATATATATATAATATCTTCTTATGTATGACCTACCTAGCTACATGTCCCTATTTAAACAGTTGGACATGTGAAATTTCACTTGGAAGGAGGCATGTATCTTTACTTTGTCTACATTGAATCGAATACAAAGGATTCACATGTTGCCTCTACTATTTTAGTTTTGACCAGCACCAACCCAAATTTTATCAGACTCGGAAGTAATTTTTTTCCCAATGCATGGGTGGTTATTTGATTTTTCATTTTTAACCATGTCATGCAGGGACTTCTTCAGATGTTTATCACGTAAAAATTCCACTAAAAGGGAGGGTATTAGTTAAGTGTTCGGACGAATTCAGTAATTTTGTATTTGTATTAGGAAATTGTTAAAATGTATGCGTCCGCTGTACATTAACGGATCAGGTCCCTTGACTCAACAAGAACAATAATTGAAATAAATGCGTTAAAAATTTGAGTAATATTTCACATCTCTCGTGTATATTAAATGTATAGAACATCTTCAGCTATAAACAATGTGTTGGTGTATTTACACCAACAATATGATAAAAAAAATAATTCATGCTCCATTAAAGTGTATGTATATATATATATAATAAACTGAAATTTCAACGTACCACGGTAGAAGATTGAGACTTGAGAGACGATGAAATCCGATCAGTTTGAGCATAAAAGAATCAAATAAAATAAGACATTAAAATGCCTCCCTTTTTGTAAAATATAGGCGCGTTTGCGTTTTAACTTGTTTTCTTTTCAGATAATTAGTGAAGGGAGTAAATAATATAAAATGAAATAAATTTATAGACTGGTAGAACCTCCACATAGATTATATATGTAATTGACAATTTACTACGATTTAGATGTATTTTCAGGTCTTATCTCTAATTTATATAATGCGTGGGATGAGGAGAAAGAAGTCATAAACTAAAAAGGGGCATAAAAAGTTGGGATTATATGGGCACGTTCATCTTAAAATTGACACACTTCAACGTTGAGGTAAGCAGACAGGCACACCTCTAGATGGATCTTCTTGGAGACATTAGTAGCACAAGGAAAATTGTATACAAGGGACATATTGGTTAGGTGGGGCATGATTGAAGACAAGAGTTGTCCAGTTTGCCTACAGACAGAGAAAACAATTGAATATCTCTTTTTTCTTGTAATGACACAACACAAGTATGGGACGCAATGGGGAATCTTAGTAGCTCAGTTGGTTGGCTATATGAACTTCCACCTTGTTGGTGAGGGTACTTTGATTCCCCGCATTGTAATACCCTCCCCATTTCCCCTACGCCCAATTTCTTTTATATAAAAATGTATGGGACGCAAAGAAGAGTTTATAAGCGAAGACACTTTCAGTCGAATGTAGGTAGTCTTCTTAACTTTAGGGTCAATCGAATCGATAGAAGATCTAGCACATCGATTGGAGAGAATGAGGCACAAGTTTGTAACCGAATAGAATAGTATTTTGTAATCCCGGCTGGGAAAACTATCATAGTGATTCCACTAGTCAC